GTGATTGTTATTTGTATTTCTTAATAATGAGCACTCTGCTTTACAACTTCAGTTTTATCTCAATACAACAATCTTACCAATTTAATCAATATAACTAACCAATATCGGATTGCAACAAGGATCAACAACCCGATACATCACATTCTTCATTATATTCCTAACAATCTTCATTTCATGACGCTAGACGATTTGGGGTAGAAAATATTTTTACAATATATAGCTCGTCACCTGGGGTGGTCAATGAGCGTCCATAAATATTTCATCATCACCGGTACAAACACCACCACTTATTACCACAACAAACATATATCTAACTTAGATGGACTTCTTCTTAGCTAAGTTGGCAATACAACATAATTCCATTGACGTTGTTTTCCTTTGGTTGATCCTCGCATGAGTACTTAAAACACAAATCTTACCCCTAAGTCATCTGTGCGTCAAGAAATTAGTAAAATAGCAAAAATGTCTTTAAGCACATGACCCCCGATGCGATTTTATATAAAATAGTGATATTTTTTAAGCACACCCGCCCTTTATTAGATACTGTTAGGATAAAGTTGAACAAAAATATCCAAAAAGAAAATATCCTGAGAGATAAAGAGTGGAGGGTAATGCGAGAAAGATTAATTTTTTTAAAGTAAACTTGTAATTAGATGATGTGGTTATTGATGATTAGAATATTACTTAAGTATCAATTAATGTGCTTGTTTCTTATTGATAACACATTATGTTGTTTATAAATTTTATTTGAAAATTTAATCTCTCTAACATTACCGAAAATATATATCAGAAGAGTGGGGTCTTTTGTCTTTGGAGTGGTTATGTGGGCACAATTTGTTGCGTGGTGGATGTTAGGTAGCGCGTCGACATGCCTGCCGATAAGGCAGCGTACGTCAGCCATAAATAAATACTACGAGAATCGAACTGCCTATATTACTCGCCGAAATTACCGAAAGAAAAAGAAAGATTAAGGTTCTGGAGGCATCTTTATGTCATGGGGACCTTCTCACGTCACATATATTGCCGACAAAATTCCAATCGTATAGTTTATGTGTGGGAATGAAAAGTCCATAAACTCGTTGAAATTCAGATTCACGTTTATTTATCCATTTTGATATTCAGATTCTCTTGTATATCAATTAATAAAGGCTTTAAAGAAAATACCAACTTAAGAAAACTACCATTCTTTTCACATTCTATTACTTATAAGTACAGGGACATTTATATTTTTATCCCCACATGCCACCGGTCTGAATTGCCGTCGGTCACCGTCAGTGTCGGCAGAAATGTTTTCAGTTGTCGAAAATCAAGTCATTGTTCACTAGTAACTTACAAAAAGAAAAAAAAACAAAAAAACAAAAAGTGTAACTTTTTCATCTTCAATTGTGTTTTATGTGTGGGTTTATTATTATTTTTAAATGTATAAAATTAGAGAACTTATGAGATAATTCATTACTTAACATGATTTTTTGAAGGTCATTGTTGGACAATGACATTGAGATCGAAAAATTTGATCAATAGAGAAAAAGTTGGCCATTCGACAAACGTGGTAGGATTGAGTGACAATCATGTAATTATTTTGAATTATAGTAGTATTTATATAATTGTTTTGGTTGACTTTTTCATTGTTACCTAAACTAAAATCATGGTATTTTAGTTTAAAGTTTTCTTAGAATTGGTATTTAAATTAAGATCCCCCCAAAAAAATATACAAAATGGCGTTAGCGTTGTTAAATAATAAAAAATAAAACATGTTAAGGTGTTTAAAGCAGGAGAAATTACACACATAGTCAAATTATAAGGCTACATTTTGGAGAGAGATACAATTTTTTATTTCTTTGGCACTTCTCTCTTTTTCTCTCTCTCCTCCTCCTCCTCTCTCTCCTACTTCTTATTCGTGCTTCTCTGTCACCTCCTCTTCTTCTTCGTATTATTCCTTAAATTTTTGAGTGTTTTTTTCTTTTATGAGATAGTATATATGGACACAATAACTATATGCTCCTAATTGCATGAATATGAACTTCAAAATCATTTTATAAAACATTCTACGCCTCCCACTCATGGTTGAATGAGAGTTATATGGACATAAAGTAATGAAATAAAGTCCTGATAAATATTATGATTAGGATACGCATTGTGAATAAGAACATAATATATCATTGATATGCAAGTATGATCGAATAAGTATCGCAAATAATTAGCAAGATAAAATAGTTTATTCATGCTTATTGATTATCCCAATTGCTTCTCATATGGGACCTTTCATTTTATCTTTCGTTTTTATTCTTTTATTGTTATACGGCACTTAACAATGTAGCATTAATAACAATTAATGTTTGTAGAAAATAAAAAAAGGTTATAGGAATTAATAATCAAATTAAAGAGGAAACTGGAAACCAAATCATATGTGTGGGTGTTTCATGGTGGCAGCCGGAAAAGCAATGCACGTCTTCCCAGCTGCGGAGCCAACATGGGCCATTAGCTGTCGCTAACCTCAACAACTTCAAGTACCACCCTTTCGAATTTGTATATGACCCCTTTAATAACTAAGGCAAATAAAATAGAGAGACCATTTATTAATAATTTTTTTTAATTAAAACAAACCAAAACTACAACCTTTCCAAAATAGGGAGAGTCTTTTTAGAGATCATTACTGTGAAGAATCCACATCGGATGAGAAATCAATGTTGAACGATGACTTGGTTGTATACAATGAAAAATGAATGGAGGTCAATGGTTAAATGATAACTTGGTTATATAGAATGAAAAATGTATTTGATTCTATTGATAATGATGTTGTAATATGACGTTTCTAAAATATGAAAAGATGGTGCCAATTATAAATAAAGGTATATTTAATTTTTTTTAAACTTCTTATTCAATTTGTGACCCTATCATTATAAAATTCTATTCCACTACTGAATTTTCCTCTATTTTTATATTTCAGTTGTCCCGCACAACAAGGAAGTGCATAACACTTTTCCTTCCATAATAAATCTGCACGCAAGGCAGATCTGTGATTTGTCATCACAGGTATATGCACCCATATAAACGATAAAAAAGAACATTAATCCATGAGACGAATCATATAAATATAAAAACTATTAACAATAAGAAGTATGTGGATGTATATGTTATATAAGCATCTAATATGTAAAACTCCCTTGATATGAACCACAAATTCTTCGCACAGCAAGACAGACAAAAGCCATGAATGGTATGTACCAATTTGATAGCTGTGGTAGCAATCGGTAGATAATGAAAGTTGGTACAAATAAAAAAACTCGAATTGTATAAGAGTGTGTTAGAAAAAAAATTATAAAAGTAAGAGACAACTCAACAAGAGAGAGACTAGAAATTTGAGAGTGATTGGGAGGAGAAATCAAAGTGTAATTTCCTTCATTTATAAGGATAAGGATAAGGATAACTTGAAAGAGAAGCTCAAGTATTCTTGTTTACATCAATAACTTAAATGGGTAATCAAACTAATCCATTATATGTATGTGTGTGTATATATACACCCTTGATGATGAGAAAGAATTTAGGATGATGCTATCCACACACCACTTATTAATTTTTGTTCTTTTAATCTTCTTCAATTTATTTAATCCACCGACAGACAATTAAAGGAGTCTATATGAAAGGTAAAAAAAAGTGTGTAGAATAGCACCATCCTTGAATTTATACCTAGCTAATTGTATACAATCAATAATACATAGTTATTTTAAACTGAAACATGCAACTTTTGTTGTGGCTCATAAACTAAGCCGAATTTGGTGAACCACATGCAAAGAATGACTCCAACAACTTCAAATATCTCCCCTTCGAATTTTTATACGATCCCTCTAATAGCTAAGGCAAACAAAATAGAAAGACCATTTATTAATATATTTTTTAATTAAAACAAAATAAAAGTGCAACCTTTCTAAAATAGAGAGAGTTTTTTTAGCGATCAATATTGTGAATAATCCACATCATATGAGAAATCAATGTTGAATGATCACTTGTTGTATACATTGAAAAATGAATGGAGGTTAATATTTAAATGATAACTTGATTGTATAGAATGAAAAATCTATTTGATTATATTGATAATAATATTATGATAGGACGTTTCTAAAATATGGGAACATATCGTTACCGATTATAAATAAAAGTATACTTAGTTTTCAAAAGCTTCTTATTCGTGTAAAATTTATCTCCGTCAATGTATCTTCCTCTATTTTTGTATTTCAATTGTCTCGCACATCAACGAAGAGCATAAACTTTTCCTTCCCTAATAAATCTGCACTCAAGGCAGATCTGTGATACATGATCGTAGGCATATGCACCCACAAAGGACGAAAAAACATTAATCTATGAGACGAATCATAAATATATAATTATTATTAACAATAAGAAGTATATGGATTATATAAGCATCTCGAATGTCTAAGACTCCCGTGATATGGACCACAAATTCTTTGTACAGAAGGCAGACAAGCTATGAATGGTATGTACCAATTTGATAGCTGTGACAGCAATCCATTGATAATGAAAGTTGGTACAAACAAAAAAAATCTCAAATTGTACGAGGACGTGTTGATAACGTATTAAAAATAAAGTTTATGGGTAAGACACAAGAGAGAGACTAGAGAAATTAGAGAGTGATTGAGAGGAGAATACGGACATCCACATGGAAATAATATTACAACAAATATATATAACACGGATTCGGAACATCACTTTTCTACACAACTTTTGACATGTTTTTGTGAGACCCATTTTTTACATACACACTCGTTTATTTTTGTATTTTAATTTTCTTTGATCCATTCGATCCAATGATCAGAAATTGAAAGAAGTCTGTGAAAAATAGAAGGAACGTGCGGAATAGCACCATCCTTGAATTTATACCTAGCTAATTGTAAACAATCAATAATATATATAGTTATTTGAAACTGAGACATGCAACTTTTGTTGTGGCTCATAAATAAGTAAGCCGAATTTGGTGAACCACATGCGAAGAATGCTGGCCGGTTCTTGTGTTTTCTGCTACAAATTATTCAATACAAAATTTAACTAAGCACCTCTAAATCGTAAACTAGGTGCTTAAGGTAGGCATTTTGAACAACTGATAAATTACAAATACATGGACACATCTACTGCCTACGGTCGCCAAACTTACATATGTGCGGTCGCAAGCTTAGGAATCGCCATATGTGTATCCTACAAAATTACAAATACATACATCTACGACCAATGCTGTTGCAGAAACTGGTAACTTTATACATCTTCACTCACTTTTGCGGAAACTGGGATCTCTGAGATCTTAATTGTTGGTAAAGCGGGATGGCCATTATCTGGAGACGGAAGCAGCTTACCTAAATACAAGCTTTTTATGATCCAGCTAGCTGGCTGCCACAGGTGACCAACTCAATTCAGAAAAAAGGTGGAAGCTCAATTTTATAGGAAAATAGCATGTGAGACAATGTACTTGTAAAAGCAATTAATAATTACTTACCATCACTGCTATCCTCTGCTCGGACGCGCACTGCCTCAAGTGACGTGATGTCCTACTTTCATCCTCCGCAACAATGGCTCCCAAAGTAACTTTCTCTTTGTCCAAACTGTGGACTAACCACTGGAGGGTTTTAAAGACCTTCCCGCCTCCGTGCTGCACAACCCAGAAATATTATCAGAACGAATCAGACTACAGCGAAATGTATCTTCATTGGAAAGCTGGAAACACATATGATCCCACTAGATGATCCAAATGAATTGGAAGATTACAATTTTCTCCGTTCTGCATCACTTACTGACTCATAGAAATTAAACATTTAGTAAGACCGCAGAGTAAGATGCATGCCATGACCAAAATTTATGACAATGAATTTAGTTCCTGCCGAGAGTACCAATATCACAACTTTGACAGCAGGAGATACACCTTCATTCTACATTAACTCGACAACATTACATGGGGTAGGAGGAGATGGCAACTAGTGAGAGGGAGAACTTAGAAATGAAACTAAACTAACCAAGATGAACTATGTACTGTTTGAATTTCGGTGACAGATTAAGGTTATAACAACATTAATGACCCCTACCTTAATTATTTTTGCCAATTTGCTGTAGAAACTGTGCTTTCCGTGAAGCATGATTCCTACTTTTTCAAAAACATATTCGCAGTTGTGAAATGGCTCCCCGATAATGATATGCTCTGCATCAGCTCGATTCGGTAGTATCATGTATCTAATAATGATATTGATTTAGAATCATGAAACATCGAAGTATAAAAACTTACGGTACAATAAATGCCTACAATAACCAATTAACATGACCACAAAAAGTTAAAGCCCCAGGATCAAAGCAAATAGATCTGGAAAAAGGAGCCTAGGAAATCTATTTACTATATCACAAAAGAACAAGGCTCCTAGTGTTGCATTGTCCTGTGTCACATGTTCCAACCAGAGCTGTGAAACACAAAGCAGACGCTCCTTTCGCCAATACTCTAAGAATCTAAACTGTAACCAATCCCCACGACTAAAACAGATGGTAAAACTCCAAGAAAAATGCACCACTTACTTCTCAGGTGGTAAAATACAGCCTGCCGAAATTGAATTAGTAAGCCAATCAACTTTTAATATTAAGGAGTTCACTGCACAACCATACAAAAACTTGGTGGTCTGTAGCTGCAATGAATAAAGAATAACATGTTAAGAGTAGAAATAGGGCCATTTTCGAATACATGATAACCAAGTTTGAACTTCAGTCATAAGAAATAAAGTAAGAAAAAACAACCTTTTTCATACATAGAATAACGGGAAGATGGTAGCCATTGGATCGTACGCTTCTTTTTGCCCTTAAATTTGGAGAAGGAATATCAGAAAGAACAATGCCACCATGTTTCCATATTTCTCGTTCAATGTCCTTTTCCTTCTGACTAGAAAATCCTGTAAGCAGGAAGTCTATACCATGAAACAGTAATCTCTTCCCAGACTTAAGGTGACAATTTGTACAGCTACTTCTCTCATGACTTCGAAACTTGGGATGTTTCCATCTTTTACTTACTCTAGCATTTGAGCCTATACATTTAAAGTTTAGCAACATAATAAATTAGAACGATTTGTAGAGTTCATCAATTTGGACCAAATTTTAGAGAATCAATAGGCATGGCTTACAATATTTGGTTGAAGAATCTAGCTTTTGGAGGTTCTTGTTCAGCTGAACTGCAATATCTGCTTCACAGAAATGAACTCTCTTTTTCACTAACACATCTCTGTCAAGGAAGTTCTTGCATTCAGATTGTATAGTTTGGAGTTCCTCGTTTTGTTGAAGCTTAACAACATTTTCCGGCAACAAATCAAGTTTGAGATGTTTCTCCACAGTGGAATTGTTCATTAAAGGTTTAGAAGCCTGGATACGGAAACGTGACCTATGATTAAAAATAAGAGGCTGCCTCCTCTTTTTCAATGCTTGAATAGGTAGCTCATTCCCATTTCCTTCAGTCTCATGATAACTTCTCTTCTGATTTTTCAGTGTTCCAACAGGATTCGCATCTAAGGTAGTTTCACTGTTTCCCTCATCGTCTCTTCCAGCAGAATATGAGGATACAGTATTGGAAGGAAGCGACTCATTATAACTCCTTTTATCAGAAGATCTATTGCAGGGGACATCCTTATTCAAGGGATTCAGCCTCTGATCGAGTTCTAGTTCAAATGACTGATCACGATAAAAGCTTCCCCCATCAAAAATGGAAACAAGGTTTGGGAGAAGCGTACTATATGTCCTGAGTGAAATCATCTGCCTACGAACTGTGACTGGAGAACGCTCACCATTAATTATGGGCATAGATGGCCCGTCCTCATGGGGAAATTTAATAATTGGATTTGAAGATGTGTGTGAATTCTCCACCGCAAGTTCCAGTGTGGGTCTAAAGCATTCTTCATTATGATTTTCCTTATCCTTCTGATTGTGAGCTAATGTAAGACTAGCATTTTCTGAAGAAATACTGCACGGGACAACAGAACAAAGAGGATCTACTGGAGATAGGCTAGAAGATGTCACCACATCTTGAGAGAGCATTATCCCATTGTTATCTTCGTCATGTAAACCAGAAAAGGCTATGCTTGACTGTGATGTTCTATAAAACTTGGTGTCATGCACTTGCACAAAAGAGTTTACGTCTGGAGCAATATCTGCCGATTCTGAGAAAAAACTCGTCTCACCAGCAAAACACTTCATCACACTTTTAGTATTCTGTTTCAACTCTGGAGTAGCAGATGCATCCTGCCAAATGTATATTTGAAAAGGAACAAAAAACAAAAATATTATCAAAAACAAGAGAAGAAACTACAATAACAATGATGCTAATGATCGTATAAATGTTGCATTAAATAGTAAGTATGAATGACATAACATGAACCTCACTAAAGCCAATAACACCAAAATCCAAAATAGTAAATCTGCAACCTGAATAACTGCTTACAGGAGGTTTTAATTTAACAGTGGTATGTTTAATCTTGCATATTACTGTCAGGCAGGATGGTATAATGCATACAGTAGATATGCTTAAAACAGGAAAGGAATCTTGACATGTAAAAGAAGAAAAAGTGGTCACGTAAAGCTTCAAAACTATAATAGTTCCAACTGCTAAAGAGTATTCTGTGGAGTTGAGAGGGAAAGTATATGGAACATTCAGAAAGTACAGGAAATGGAAAGTGACCCTTTGCCACAGTGGTGGAAAAGTATTGAGCCCTGTATGACGGCGTGGGTTCGAACCCCGTCAGTGACTAATCTAACATCTAATCGAACAAAATCTATCGTTTGCTACAAAAAAAAAAAAAATGGAAAAAATACAGGAAATGTGAAGAGATAGTAGCAAAATAGAAATAAGCTTGATGATATTGGTATCTTAAGAAGCCATTGAATTATATGAATAAATGTAAGTGGTAGACCAAAACTTACCAACAGCACGGGCCTCAAAACTTAGATGCATTTAAAGAATGAAATTAAATAAACCACGTTTTAACATTGTAAAATGTAAAAGTGATCTTAGCAAATATGGTTGGATTTCTAGTCTGTATGTGATTAAGCTGTCTGAGACAAAACAAAGGGGAAATATTAAAAGCAGTGATATAAGAATAAAAATCTTTAAGGTATTCTAGAATTTTGCCAGTATCTAACGGGTTACAGCATAAGTTACTAAGCACTCATCTAGGTCTAGAATAATACATATAGAATTAACTTAATATTTGGGTAAGTGTAGATGCATAAGATTGAAACTGAATTGGGACAAATAAAAAAGTAAAGCACACACCTGGCCTGTCCAACCCCCTAACCACCGGCTCCTGAATCTGTTCGAAGCTAAGTAACTTACTGTATCTTCTCCCTCTACAGGACATAGAAAGCTTAATAAGAAGATAAATAAATAGCAAGAAATAAAGAATACACACATATGCCTAATCAAGAGTAGGGAAAAAGGAGGTGCATGGAAAAGGAAACGTTTCTCACTAGAGTTCCCTGAATCCCAAGCTTGTGGGCGGAAGTTTACATTGTTTTGATGCTGAAATGATGCTACATCCACCATAGAGCCAACTGTCTGGAAGCTAAACTTACTGAATTAGTTAACCCAATTGGAATGAGATAAAAAGTCCAGCATGCAGGCTGTAGCTAATCTTTTCCATATTAAGTGCACGAGAAATGACAGTCTAAACTAATTGCAATAAAAAAGATTTTTTTAGTTTTTTTCTATAACATATATATATATATATATATATATAATATCAGTTTTATATATTAGATAAGAGGAGAATGGGAGATCAGAGAAGGTGAATATGATTTTACCTGCTTCATGACAAAACCATCTGAATTTTTAAGAGCTGAAGGATCATATCTGGCCACACTGATATTTGAACCCAGAACAAGCTTATCATGAAACTGTTCCCTCTCATAGTTGACGGATTCTGGATGGAAGTTCTCTCTTGATTTGAGATCCATAACCAAATTCTGTCCTAGTTCTTTTTGCATAGGGATATCATCAAACTTGACACATTGAGCCCTGAGCTCTGAAGAATCAGATAGATTTACACACTCATACAGAATTCCAGAGAGAGGGGTCTCTTTCACTTGAGAAATAGCTGAATCACATGCACACTCATCAGAAGGTATGCTCTGAGACAGCCCTACATCTTTATATACATCGGCCATGGTGAAATCATCCAAATCTGAGAGAGAATCACAATTTTCAGTTTCCTCGGCTGGGCCATCTAAGGAATCATCTAGCCACTCCAATCTTGCTTTCTTTACTTGAAGGGCTGCTTCCAGTACCACTGCTGTTGGCAATACGTCCGAAGGCAACCCACTCCCCATTATTTCATTTATAACCAATGCTTCAGATGCTGCAATGGAGAGTTCAACTGCATCAGAGATGTCAGCTGCTTTCAGGTACCTGGTATCAAGCTTTTCACCAGAATGACTTGCTGATTTCTTGTTATTGGAGGGACAGGGTGGAACAGTATCCTCCCTGGGTTTTTCAATGGACTTTGGAGGTAAAGAATTTATCTCACCAACATTTAGGCCAATTTTGGAGTGGCTCTTCAATTCAGAACCCACTGAGGTGTTATTTAGTTGCACGGACAGAACTGTATTGGATTCAATATGATTTTGAGAAGCATCCAAAGGTTGAAGTGGGCTACATTGTGAATATCCATTTGATGAAAGATGAAGATGGAAATGAAGTACCTATACAATAAAACAGATGTACATTAGTGTATTATTGGTAAAGGTGGAGGCCTACGTACCCAGTTTAGGCATAGGCACAGAACTAATAATCTGCATGTTGTTTACTTTCTATGTTATTTTACTATCCTTTAACTTTTATTGTTTCGTTTTCAATGTAAGATCTTATTTTAGATCGTGTATACAGGCCATTCTTTGTACTTGAATCATAGTTTTCACATTGATTAGAGAATAGAAGATTGTAGTCAAATAAAATAGCTCTTGTTTTTCTATACTATGTTACCCTTCCCTCTGTTTTTTATCGGTATGTACTTAAAATGAAGCGAAAATGCATTGAAGAAGGGAAAATCTTAACCCTAGCCGCAGTGTGTTTCATCACGTGGTATAAGTAACCATTGACATTATGCAGCATTTTTCATGAACGATCAAATTTCTCATCTCTAGCTTCTTACCTCTAAAATATTCTTTGATTATACAAGATAAAAGCTTCAATATTTGACGAAAGTACTGAAAGCTAATTTAATTGAAAACAGAATCCAGAATCCATCTCCTGTTTGAGAGACAATTTGTTTGATTCTAAGATTCCTCTAATAGCTCAGGTACATCTCTCAGCTAATATGTACAAAGATTTACATTTTCCAGAACATGGTTTCAAAACATGCTGTTATGTCAATATATCACAAATTTAACACTAACTTCTAAAAAAGAAAAGTGGACCGATTTGTGAATTGATAGGACATGGTTAACAACATAAGAAAAGCAAAAGTAAAATCAAGTCATCCTTAAGAGCTTACATTTCCAGGAGATGAAGCAAAACTAACTGCAGAATTGTCTTCCCCAGATAAGAATAAATGACAGCTTTTGTACCCAACTTCCTCGCGTGAAAATGTATTAGCATCTTTTCCTTCACTAGTGTTTCCTTGAAAATTTCTCAAATCCTATTTAGTGCAATAAAGAAGACACATGAGAAAAGAGTTTAACCAATCCACGCCTCTCGGCTTTAGAACAAGCAGTAAATGTTAGAATATGGTTGGGATGGGTCTAGTTCCAACCTTGGACGCTAGCTCTAAGTTGGTACCCTTAAGTTCGTTGGTGCATTCATCCAATTGTTCTTTCTGGTGCTGCTGAAGCCAACCAGGAAGCCAAGCTAAATCCTGTAATTAGGAGAAAATTGGACATCATCATTGATTAACATAAGTAATCTCGGTAGTGTATATAACTCATCAATGTTATCATTAAACGCAATAACTCTTATCTATCTCCAAATTTGATGCTTCTATTGCCTCTCTTTTTTCATTACACCCCGTTCTCAAAAGTTCCCTTTAACTTTCCCATGCTTCCTTAGTAAAATTTAGTTTACTCATTTTTTAACTTTAAAAATTAAAAATTAATATGAAAAAAACAAGGAAGAAGATAAAAGCAAGGGAAAATCTTAGTGCCATGGACTTGCTTCCAATCAAAATGTCTCAGACTATCAAACGACTCTCCGTAAGCCTTCAGTTGTGGTATACCTTCTACTAACAGCTCCATTTACATAACAAAACCAAAGCTTTAAGAACAAAATCCCCTCTCATGGCATCTCGAACAACATACGAAAAAAATACGCTTTCACATTCACTTCGTAAAAATCAGCACATCAATAAAACTAAATAGGAAAAATTGATCTCATTTAACATATATAATTATAAAAACTAAACCACAATTTGTGTTCTGATTGTTTCCAAACAAACTTGATATAATTTAAGCGAAACACTTGTGTTACTCGTTCTACATTCAAAATTCAAACTTTACCCAATTCATTTTACTACCAGAAAACCCAAGGAAAACAAATGAACCAAATTATAAAGCGTCAATTTTCTACGAATTAGCATCCGAAATGCCTAATTGGTCCACTTAAACTACCCTAAATCAACTAATCGACGTCAAAATTTCACCACTCCTCTCTACCTTTTCGAAAATAATAAGAGTAAAATAAACTAGTTCATTATTTTGCTCCAATTTATCGGCAGCCAAACAAATGGTAAAATCCAGTCTTAGCAGAGTGGTAAATGAGGAGGAAAGGTAGAAAGACGCACCTCGGAGAACTGTGGAGAACGAAACCCTAACGTGTCGACAGAATGAGACATAATTAGCTGCTCCGCCCCTGCCGCCGCCTTGTGTTTACGCGCGCCGCTACCCCGGGTACGTCCCCTTATAACGAGAAGGAATCCTTGGCGCCAAGAGGACTCTAATTTGGCGGGTTTTGGAGTATATTTTTCCAAAGGGTAATTTTAGGGAGTTTAACTCTTAAGTGTCTTAACTTCAAGTAATTACGGAATTTTCTTTTTATATTTTTGTTAACAAACGATGTTTTATACTATTTTATATTATGAGGTGTGAGAAATTGAGTTTGTGACGCATTAAGTTCAAAATTAAGACTTTAATTATCAGGACAATTCACCACTTGCTATAATTATAAAAATTAAATAATTATAAACTTTGTAACATTCTACGGGAAGAGATCCTCTCCATATCTCTCTCACCAAAGCCACCAAGTCCACTCATCCAAGCCTTTAAAATTTGATCCAACAGTTATAAACAAGGAACCCATTAAAAACTTATAATAATTTAACCGTTGAATCAAATTTTAAATGCCCGAATGAGTGGACTTGGTGGCTTTGGTGGGAGAGATCCGGAGATGATCTCTTCCCACATTCTACACTCCCCAACAACTGTAAAAATTTTAGTAATTTTATTTCAACTCAACCATTTTTTCATTTTAGTGATTGAAATTAATATTTTTGTCTAGACATAACATTTGTCATTATTGAAAGGCTAAGCAGCACAATAGATCATACATGCCTCCAACCAGTGTTTTTAACACATGCTTGGAAATACTTCTCAATTTATTTTTTATTTTTTGGTTAAATCTTGGAAACACTTCTCTATATAGCACGTTTGTTCATAAGCACTTTTACTCTAAACACTTTCTTTTAGAAGCATGTTGCGATTTTAAATGCTTCTTAAGAAGCGCTTGAATTGCTTCATGAGGAAGCATGTGCTTCTATAAAGCTTTCTATGTTCCACAAGCATTTTTAACTTTTCATGGCAAATGTTGGCATTAGAAGTGCTTTGAGTTACTTGAAAACGCTTTTAACTATTTTAAAAGCACTTACAAAATCTGTCATTTCTCACAGCCCATATTCTTCCAAAATGACATTCTCCACAACTCGTGTACTTTGATTTACATTCTGCTGTTCAAAGATGTATCACAACATACATCCTAATAATTACTCAGATAAACTGGTGATGAGAAAGAAGAAAAGCTTTTAGTAAATTTTACATATCAGAAAATTACGCGGCTTCATTGCCTAAGAGATATTGCTGACTTCGCTCGCAGAAGGCTCCGGCTGAATCTCTGACTCAACCTGAATCTGGGAGGGTTCAGGCTGGGAAGATTCAACCACACTTGGCGCCAAGGCTTCGATTGTCTCTGGTTTGAACTTGTTGATGTAGTAACTAAGTGATGGCCCAGAGTAATCTACCTTCTGCACCACCGGAGGTGAGTTCTTACCTACTTGGAGGAGTATTGATGAAGCTGCAGCAACAGCAATGAGGGCAATCCCAGCTGCGATTGCTGCTGTGTTCTCAGCTCCATCGGCAGAAGACCCTGCAGTTCCTGAGCTTATCACGCTTTCTGCTACGTAAACTGCAGGCTGGAAAATGTAGACAAGCTAAGAAAGTTGGCGCACTGTAACGTGACATATATGATATACTCGAGTGTTGAGCAAATAAGAGAGGAAAAGAAACAGAACCACCAAACCCTACGAACTGATAGCCACAATATACATTAGTAGGTTTCAAACATCTCTTTTGAGGGTGTGGTTAATGAACTTTCTATACCCCTCTGAAGCGTGTGCGTTACAAGAGTTATGATCAACGTTTTCAGCTTAAAGTAAACTATACTCTCCACTTCCTGAGGCAAGACTTATTTACTAGTTAAAAAAATACGAGAAAGAGAATGACGTTCACCATTTTCTCAACAGCAACTTTCAATTTCTTCCATTCCAACTAAAATACTCGATTAAGCTAATGATCCATCAGTTTTAAGTATCGCTGAATCTCATGGTAATTCACTACACGTCTTGTCAGGAGGCAAGACTTATTTACTAGTACAAGAATATGACAAACAGAATGATGTTTACTACTATCTCTACTACAGCTCTCTAATTCTGCAATTCTATAGAAATACTCGATTAGGATAGTACATGATGCTCGGCATCAGGAAGAACTACAAGTTTACTTTCAAAATTTTCCAATATACAAAACCCAAAAAGTTTGGTCATATGAACTGAAAATTTGGTCTTGTGAAGAAGATGTCAACTGTGATTTTCCATTTTCTGTTGGCATTACTTTTCTCAGGTCATCCTTGTTTTTTGATCTAATGTATCATCGCTCAACCAAGCTCTGAATAACTTTTTAGAGGTTTTTTTTTTCGTAATGATCAGTTATAATCATTCTGTCCGGTACATTCAATGTTTTTTTGGCTTCAAAATTTCAAATAAGAAATAAAACACCGATTTCTCAAAGAAAAACAACAAAAAAGAGAAAGGTAAAAAGAGGCAGGAATGCAGAAGTCTAGCACAGTGTAAAAATTCAATATCTACTAACCTCCACAGAATATATGTTTGTCTGTCCAGCAGTGTCCTTCTCAACGTATCCAGTCCAACCCCGATTGCGGGGTGGAAATGTCCCAGAAATTTTTGTCTTCTCACCAGCCAACCATTCCACGCTCACTTTTCCAACCTATTCACACCACAAGAAAAATATCAAAATATATTTGTTCAATTATCCTTTTTCTGTCAAGTAGAATGCCAATAAACATGTCATTGACCCTAGAAATCCCCCGCTCTTTAATTGTCAGTTTTCGTTCCTGGTCAGATTTGTTTTCCATGAGAAAGAAAGACTCGTGTGAGGAAGAAGGATGTGGGCACCACAGCTTGGAACACTAGGACCCAAAGAATAGTTCAACATTTGTGGTTTGAGAGTTTCACTCCAATATGTTTTGATTTCTTAACTGATGGTTGGAAATCTTTTCTCATCCACAGATGCCTATGGGCTACCGCTGGTCGCAGAGATTTACAAACTAACTTCTTTCCATTGCAATTATCGGTGCAAAGGGAGACTTGGATAGTATACCAACAGCTTCAAGGCATGGGTGAGGTGAATCATAACAGGACTTTTAAGGAATAACTTGCTATTAAAGTTCCAATTATGCTACGAAAACAACGAAAAACTATATCAAATTCCAGAGTCCATCAAAGACCAAGAGTAGTCGAGTTGCCTCTTCCCTTCGGGAAGTCACTCTTCAAACTGCCTAAATGCCATGAGGATGCGCGGTAGATAAGTCCACAAAACAAACACAAACACAAACACCACGCAAAAATCTTCATTTATTTGTCTTTCAGGAATCAAACATATTGGTTTGCAATGTGATTGAAATCCTGAATTAGCGTCCTAGGGAGTAACAACTCTCCCCAATTACTACAGCAAACATAACTGGAAGTGAAAAATTAATCGGGAAAATGACCAATTACATATGGTTAAACTTAATCCTAAATTAGGGTCTCTGTTTACTGTAGAATCCAATCCAGTAATCTGAGATTACCAACCCATCACGCAAAAAGCTCCAACATTGATGGGTTAAATTCAAAACTTTTGCTTGCCTTAATTAATCAATTAACAATCTTACACCAAACACCTAGGTAGAGTTTATATGCATACATATGTATATATACATATATGAGAGAGAGAGAGAGAGAGAGAGAGAGAGAGAGAGGGTTACCTCCTTGTCGGGAGCACATTCTTCCACATTACAGTCAGCATCTTCAGTGGAAGCTCTAACTACAGTGAGATGATTAGCTTTATGAAGTTTTCTGGAGAAGAAGAAGCTCCTTTGTTGTGTAGGAAATGTGCACGTGAATGTGTTTGCTGCTGCAATCAGAGCTTGTGCTGCGGCTGCCATTCTTTGCAGAATAACACTCAGACACTCAAATGCAAAGTAAATTTTGTTGGGGAGTTTTATTGTGGAGAGGAGAGACAAAAGTGATGCAGAGGAGGAGGAGAGGGAAGGATGATATTTTTCCCACTTGCGGATTGGTGTCCTTTGCCTTGTGTTGGAGGTTTGGTGGATACTAAGATGGCTACGTCATCTAAATGATTTTTATTTTTATTTTTTTTAACTTTTTCCTTTTTTTTCTTAAAAATAAACTGAAACAAATTACAAACAGTGAAACGAAGATTCTCGGCGGATCTTAAAATCATACATTTCAAAATTTAACCTGGAAATGACAAAACTAGGATAATTATTGAGAATATGTAATCAATTTAAGATTTTAATTTTAATCTATGGTCATGTTAAAAAAATTTGATTGTTCGTCACATTTGTTACTGTATTTGAATTTATATATCTTTTTGTGATTTGAAATGAAGTATTTGCAGTTTATTCTATCTTGCAATAACAATTTTATGTTTTCCTAATTTGTATAAAACCCCAACGATTGTAATTCACACTATACCAACAAAGAGCTCACATAGCTTAAGACCAACTCAAAATGCACAACCATAATTCAATAGCCTTCGTTTTAATCTTTCAATTATTAATTTTGCCTCATGAACTCAAAACGCACAAAATATAATATCAAAACATAATAAACTCTTGTCTTTTGGCATATTTCATTGGTCCAATATGTATTTTCCATAAGGAAAACTTATGAAATCACCGTTGCACCCTCTTGAATGTTCCCCCCTAAGATCATCTCCAATCCTTGGGCTAAAAACTAAATTTTTTAGCCCGGAAAATTTGGCTTTTAGCCCAGAAACATATTTTCTGCTCCAACCATTTTGCCCTAAAATTTTAGCCTGTAATTATTAAAGAATGAACTTAGGCTAATTTTTTTCTTAAATCAATTTTAAAAAAATAATAAATATGTAGATTATTGTAAATTAATTTTATGAACATTTTAATCTAAAAAAATTTAAATTCCGATAAACATTTGGCATTTAGCCCGGGGGAAAGCTGGGGGGGGTATTTAGCCCAGAAATAACATTTGGCATTTAGCCTAAAATTTTAACATGGGTTGGAGAGTGTTGGGGGGGGGGTAATTTGGGGGGTAATTTGGCTTTTAGCCCAGGTTTGGAGATGATCTAAGCTTTCACCTTATTGAGTTATATAGGAACGTTGGGATGAATTCTTTCTTGGGATGAAAAAATGTAATTTAACGAGTTTTGCCACAAAGATATATATTGGATCAACAAAAGATGTCAAAAGAGGGTAGACAATTATGTTTCGATAAGACTGAATCTGTGAATTTTGAGTTTAAAAAAAAACGACCAACTGAAAAAAGTAAATTTTGAGGCCATTATATTTTGATAAGACTAAATATGTGTGTTTTGAATTCTTTAAAAAAAAAAAAAAAAAAAAAGAGTTACTGAAAAATAAAAATCTAAGATCATTATATTTCGATAAGATTAAAACGGCTGCACCAACAACGAAGTTTTGGGTTTGGAGTCGTCATCATTTGACTTTTGTTCTGTAGATGATTATATTATGGCAAGCAGAGATCTCTAACCCAACCCATACTTTATGGAGTTAGGAATGTGTCATGGGTCGATGGAGACCGACCGGCACGACGACGAGAACGGCGGAGATGTCAGGCTCGCGAACGAAAGTAAAGGAGGCAATGTGGTACTGCCGCATGCTTCAATGTACTGCGACATTCGTACGGTGTCAATATTTCTGGCCGTTACGATCTGAAGAGTGGCATCGAAGAACGCTTGGGGAAACCATATGCAAAGAATCAACAGGGATGGATTCATTGAGGTTCGAAATTCATAAAGGAAGCTCTGCAGGAGGAGGACAAGGCTACTTCCGAATAGGAATCGAATATGATATTTTATATTTTTTTTTGTTACGTATCTGACCGTAAAATGGGGATAAGGCTAGCCGACATTCACCTCTCCCAAACCCTACGTAAAGCGGGAACCTTGTGCACTGGGTACGACCTTTTTTTACGTATCTGACCGTGATACGGTGAATGTACGTAAATGCATGTACTGTAACCAAGTCCCTAAATTACTGAGTTTTGAGAAAATTTGATTTGTTTTGTTACCCAAGAAATCAGAGAAAATTTTATCCAAAAAAAGGGACAAGGCAGACAAATAGAAAAAGTATCGTCGAATGCTATATAACATAAACCAACAGTACATCATCCATCAAAGAAAACAGCACTCTCGACAACATTAAACCTTTACCCGCTTGTTACCAAAGGGCCACTCCAACTGCAGAGGCTCCAGAAATTGCAATCACGCGGCGAATGCCAATATAAGAGAGGACGTTATGAAAGATCGATCAGACGAAGACATGATCGATCGTTTACAACCTCAAATCCCACTTCCTGCACTCGCTACACCAGTCTTATGTTACATGGTACACCACTTCATCCCATTATGCAATCCACTCGCGAATTGTCAAAACCTGAGTTTTCGTCTTTGTGAAGCTGAAATATTTCTGAAGCTTCTTCAACATACTTGGCCACTTAGCTAATGTTTTTCGGTACCCTTTTGTTTGCCTGCAAACCAAAACTCACTTTGACATAAAAGAGAAGCCTGAAGAACGTACAAGAGAAAAAGAAAACCACAGGGGAGATTAAACATGTTAAAAAAGCATACACGATAAGGTTACAAGCGAATAGAAATACGTCCCTTTTATAACTTACCATCAACCCAGAACCATAGTCACACTTACCAGAACAAAAGATGCAAAGAAGAAGAGCGTCTCCACAGCCTCACATGTGCTGTTAAACATCAGCTCGATGCATACCATATTTAACTGAAACATTTATTTTTTGTACATAAGCATTGCATAATGTGGGAAAATTCTCAAATACAAAGTATTAAAGATATGTATGGTGCAACTTCATGACATGGAGATGATGCATTTACTAAAGCACGGGATGGAGAAGCAAGAAATACAGCAATGAAATTGCAGCAGAGAAATCAAAAAGCTAGAGAGCTTCCTAAAAGGACGGGCAAGGAAACTGAAGAAAACGCCCATTGGATTCCCACACCAAAATATGCACTCTGCATTCATCAACAGAGCCCTAAAAAGAAATATAAACTTTGACGTTTACCCAAAATTTTGTGGATATCCTTTGTTGCAGTTACCAATCAATCAAACTGAGTTTTCAACCATAGCCTAATGTTTTCAGGTGCCTAGTCTCCATAACTTACAGCCCCATTACCACATTTACCACTCAGAGAGAGTGCTCCACTATCTACATGTTCAATAGTCATCTTTAACAATACACAGAAGAAGGCATTATTATGATGTAGTTATGGAAACCCTTTCACAATCAAGAGCTAAAGCTATGATTTAGCTTGGGATAAATAGAAAATTAGAACTTTTACAAGTTATGTCTTATAGCTTTGGGAAAATGAACCTGATTAGTGGTCACGACTTCAGTACTAGCCTACTAGGACTTGCAAAACAATTTCACTCGTTAAATTTCAACCGCGTTAAGTCATTTATGTTCATCCAACCAAACTCAACCTAAGGTACCTTGAACTACTCCCACCTAACTGAGCTTTGAAGATCACAATATCAGGTTTAGGCCACCTTTAGATGAATCAACAACTGAGAAAGTCATGGCACAAAATATCCATTGAAAAATATACATCACTGACTGCTCATCACATCCTTAAAACAGTACAGGATCAATCAAAAGATGATGCATCCAAGGAGACAGAAGTAAATACAGAAAACAACTTGGGGGTCTCTCCTATAAAGTCATTATCAGATAACAAAATACATTTTCTAGCCTGCAATATAGTACAATCAAAGGTCTATAGAAGGGTGAGTTGAACACACAGAAGAACTAATCAATATAGTTACCATCAGTTACAAGATTTGGAGGAGATCCAACAGAACCCAACAGCTTAGGCCTGCTTATCCAGTACTGGTGAAACCTCTGCCTTGCGTATTCCATGTAGTCAAAGTCAATTTCATTCACATGTTCCTGAAAAAATGAATGCATAATTAATATTTCCTCCAAGAAACAAATGAATGCACGATTACTATTTCCTGCCAACTTAAATATAGCCACACGAAAGTATTTCTACGCATTATGTATATCAAGTAGGAGGCAGGTAAATCCTTGATCACAATTAAAAATCAGAAAGACATCCTGTCATCAACAGGTTAGCTTATAGGATAAACTATCATATAAAAAACCTAAGGCGTTAACACTCATTATGGAAGCCACAAGAGTGCAAGTGCCTAGTCAAAGTGGCAATAGGTTTCTATGATAATAAGGTTCTAGCCACAAAGACTATGTTGAAACGACAAGTACCGAAATTATTCCCCATAAGCCCCAAAAGAGATGGCTTGCAAGGGTATAGTTCTCAACATCTTGAACCAGCTGCTCCACTTCGCTCTCAGTAGGTTGATTGCCTGCATACAAATCCCACAATTCAGAAAAAATAAAATAAATCTTCCAATTTCTTGAGAGAGAGAGAGAGAGAGAGATTACAGCATAATCAAGAAAATAATAAATATTACCAGAAAAACTCAGATACAAACAAACAAACCGCTGACGCTCCTCTGAACCTGTTGTGAGTGGCAGGTCAAGTTATAGCATGGAAACAGAAGGAAATAAAACAAGATAGATATAAAAACATGTGCCACAACAACAGATGACAAACCAGGATATTTGCTGTAGTCCAAAATATGAGGTGTATCAGTGTGATAGTCAGCTGCCATCTCACAGAAATGATTTGCTATGTCAAATGCTACAGCATTATAACTTGCATATTCATAGTCCTGGCATGAAAGGTAAATATAATATCAGAACCAAAGAATTTTATCACTGTTGTTCATGCCCTATTGCACATTGTAGATGACATACTTGGAAATTCCATATATGCCAACAAACATGGTGCTCAATTTGCTTCCCAAGAAATGAAAAAATAAGAAGAAAATTATAGAACTTTCTTCTAGAAGTACAGTCAAATCCATACTTCCTCAGTAAATGAATCCTTCCATCGAAACATCATATGCGATGACGCTTAAACTTTAAACCTATATACATACATATAGAAACTGAAATATTATGTCCAGATGATTAATGATGATCTCAGTGCTAATCTTTTTTTCTGGTATTGTTCACAAGTTGGATTATATTGTGAATTTCACAGACATGAACTATTTGAAATACTTGGTATCCCTTCTAGTAATGACATCTCCCATACTAAAATTAGGAAATCATCTAAGCATAGTACAGATAACTAGGTATTCTATTGTTGCATGTAAATGAAACGTCTTAACTACTTGCTTAAATCGAAATTTAATGATCAAATGAAAAATAAGATTTTGCTGCCAAAATTCAGGTGAGAAAAAAAAATTGAAATTAAAAGCAGAATGAGAAACTTACGATTACGGTTATCGATTTACTCTCTTCCTCAAGCATTATATTACCATACTGTAAATCATTGTGGCAAAAACCAATGCGTTGATGAGGCCCTGAGAGCTCTTTCTCCAGTAACGGGATTTCCTTTTCAATGGAATCTAACTGAAAGGAGTTAGCTTCTTCTGGTGTAGACAATCTCTTGGCCGTACTGAGCCAATTTCTGGGGCATTTACAAAGAAGTGAGTGAAGCTATAATAACAGTAGGACCAGTAATTTATGCGACAAATTAAGCTCATTTGATTTAGACACATAGCATTATCTCAAATTTTCAGAGAATAATAGAGCAGAAACGAAGTAACGTACCGCAATCTATCCCAGAGGGTGACAACCTTTGGACCAGGCATATCAAGTTCGTGGAACTCCTTCAATTTAGAAGCTATAAGAGCAGATATATCCGGATCACGTAGATCACATGCTGAGAGTGTCTGAAAATGTACAAGTGAAAGTGGTAAAATCAGGAAACGAACAAAAAATGTTCTTCCATAGTTTGAGCTACATAACTCTTTAATTCACTTCTTATGCAATTTATCCATGTAACCCAAGAAATTAAAAATAGATGTTTTTATCTTTCTCATGCATAACCACCAATAGAAGGAATTGTAAAACCCAAATTAATCAATTCCTGAAAAAACTATTATTAGTTACAAAAGTTGATCTTGAGCTAGGGAGGTTAGTCATAAAACACTACGACATGACAATTTAGCATGGCAATCTTAAGCACTAGAAGTATACTGAGAATTGATAGAAAAAAAGAACATGGTGCATACAATATACTCCTAAACCCAAGTAGAAATGGTGAAAGAATATTGTGTGTTCTTAAGAAATTCATCAGTAACGATCCATAGAAAACAACATTTTTTATTATTAGTTTAAGTGCAAATTATGAGATTGATAGAGAACGACAGCAAGATAAATAAACATGAAAGTACCCGTGCATGGATGAACTCTTCAATTCGGCCATTTGGAAAACGCCCAAGCAGACGAGGTCCCTGACCATTCTTTGACATGTGTTCAAATGTCCGGATCTCATTATCCCTGTCAAAGAACACCTCGACACCCTCACCATAAATCCTAACCAGAACTTTATGTGACAGTTCCCCTGTCCTTGATGGCCACTTTATTTGGAAAACCTCATTAGTCATTGCACCCTTGAGAGGGATCACCTGCAGTGCCTTTGAATCTACCACATCTTCCCACTGGGAAGCCATTGATTGTAGAATCTCCCTAGCTTCTGCTGGAATACGATCTTCTCTGTTGTTGACATTTTCCATGGTGCCCATGATAAATGATTATGCTGCACATCCACACCACGACGATGTCGATGAATGTTACCCAAGCAACCTAATATCTTGGTGTGGAAATGTTGGATCCAAGAAAAATAAGCAAAGAATGTAATACGATTGTTTGACAGACTCCCTAAAAAAACATGTATTCTTAACCGTCTAACATGACCTAAAGCCAACAAATTTAACCAGATACAAAATAATAGCTGTAAGAATGCTAATGATCACAAAATTCCGAAAGGAAAAAAAAAAAACCAATATGACTAAACTATCTTGAAGTCAAAAACCGCAGCAACTAAACATCTGCGTATTGGAAAATCAGGCATAATTAGCACGCCATTGCAGTCTAAACATGTGTATAAAATCATTTTTGGCATCAAATTACACTAAAATTTGTGTCCATCACTCTCCGACTGCGGACAATTCATTCAATTCCATAACACATTACAAAAAAAAAAAAAAAAAAAAAAAACGAATGGAAGCTGCCCAAGAAGCAAGGAACCAATGAATTACCACATTATATTCCATCTTAGGCAATAACAACCTATAACATGCAATAATGCCCACAATTCTGAAACTTGCAGATTAATGAAAAGGGGAAAATTTCATTCCCTTCAACAAAACAAACAGAAAATAATCCCAAATTCACATGCAGCATGCAAGATGCAACTTTCTCATTCATTTCTCAGCAATCCAGTCCCTTTCCCACCAATTCTCCGTTACCAACACAACACCCGGATTCTCAAGAACCAAATTGAAATTAAATAAAATAAAAAGATTTCCTCTTTGATGTTGCATGCAAATTATTGGGTACTATTAGAACAATAACAATACCTGGAAAGAAGAACCGAACCGCCGGACCGGAAGGAAGCTGAGGAAGAGGACCGCACGAGAAGAGGGCACGGAAGGTGGGCTATAAGAAAGCAGAAATACCTCGAGGTCGTGCGATTTCGGGGAGGAAGGGAAGGGCGGTGGAACGGAAGCGGGAGGGGACGGTGGTGGTTTTGTTGGTAATATTTTGGGATTTGAGCGGGTTGGCAGAGGAATTTGGGCCGTTGGATTTCGGCTGTGAGGAAAGAAATGATTGTTACCTTTTACTTGTGAGTGACGAACTGCCCAAATGCGTGTTATCAACTTCGGCACCCGGGAGACAAACCCGTCTAACAAATGTGTGGGCTAACTACCTTCAGGTGATTTTTAAATTGGGCCATGAGGTTTTGTTTTTTCATATTGCTCTGTAATGTTTTAAAAGTTTTGAATGTTTCAACATCTAATTATTCCTTAAATTAATGAGTTTTTTAGGCTCTGTAATGCAAATGTGGCTTATATGTAAATTTAGTTACGGATTTTATACTCATCATGTTATCAATTTAATAAAGATTCAAATAATTCATTAGACAAAAAATGTAAATTAATATCATTTTAAAACATTAGGGGTAACATGAGCAAATTGAAACCTCATGACCTATTTAAACATTTTCAAAATTTTTAATATCCACGTGGGCCCTAGATTGCCACGTCACAGGTTAAGTGATATTTTAACAGAAAACTTGACAGATGTATGAAACTGTCTAATAATTATCACTTTAGGTACCAAAGTGAGATGAAAAAAACTTGATGTATGAAATGTTGAAAATCAAGAAACTTCAAGGTATGAGATATACCCCTAAATTTCAATTTTTTAACTTTTTAATATCCACGTGAACCCCATATTGATACGTGGTGCCCAGTCATAGTCCATGTGAACGCCATGTCGTCAGTTCACGAAGATTTTGACGGAAAACTTAACGAATGTATGAAAGTGTTTCAAAATTATAACTTTAGATAACAAATTGAGACAAAATAAACTCGATGTATGAAATGTTGAAAACCAAAAATTTTAAAGTAATAAACTGAGATTAATCATAATATAAATACATATATTCACATAAATAAATTTGACGTGAAATAGTAATTGTAATATTTATAAACATTACAGCAAATTCCACCATCAAATCAAATTTGACTCCGTATGCTTTGTACTTTTTAGATGTGGGATAACATAAACTCTTAATAAAACCCAGAGCACTTCAAGGCTAGTGGCATGTGACTGCACTTTCCACTCTAAAAACCAAAGTTCGGTGACACTATAAATCCCAATTAATACACCAACCAGAAAGTTGGAATCAATTTAATCCTTTCCCGCGGAGCCCGGCGGGCTTTCAGACACCACTGTCTCTACCTAAAACTCAACACACACCAATAAACCCTCCTTCCTCCCTGCCCTCTTCAAATCTCACCTTTCATACACTTTTACATAATTATACATCTCTCTCTCATGTTCGCGGCGGAGCCACCTGCATCAGCCCCTGGTGTCGGCGTCGGCTACGGCATAGCCATTGCCGTCAGCATCCTCGTCCTCATCTCCGCCATCATGCTCGCTTCTTACGCCTGCGTTAAAGTTAAAGGCTCAACCGGCAGAGGTCACACAGGCGATGCCCCTTCTAACTACTACGAAGACCGCAACCGCCGCTTCTCCACCATAAGCAACTCAACGGAGCCTGTGGTGGTCCTCATGGGCCTCGACGATCCCACCATTGACTCGTACCCAAAGTTGGTACTCGGCGAAAGCCGGCGGATCCCTCAGCGCAACGACACCGTGTGCTCCATTTGCTTGTCCGAGTACAAGCCCAAGGATCAAGTACGGTGCATTCCGGACTGCCACCATTGTTTCCATGCAGAATGCGTCGATGAGTGGCTTCGCATGAGCGCCACGTGTCCGGTTTGTAGAAATTCTCCGGCTCCGTCCGCCGGTCCAAGCCCTCTGTCCGATTTGGTGCCACTGGCCTTCAATGCCAGGTGATTCTGATTCTGATTATTTTCAACTTCTTTCTTGATTAAAATCCAGGGTTTTTTTTCTAATTTACTTTCAATGGCGGGTTAGGGTATTCATCTTCAAATCACCGTGTGATCCGGATTCAAATCTTATCCTGTTCTTGTTCTTAAGAGTAGATTGGTCTAAAAGAAGTTGCTACACGAATTTTTATTTGCTTTTTAAGTTGGAGATTTTCACAAGTGACAATCTTTCGTCCTCGATGGAAGGAACACATGGGTAGTATATAGTATTAGTTGGTCCATCTTGATTTGCATTTACGTTCATGTTGGAGGTTAGACGACTTTGATTTGTTCACATTGAATACAAAGTTGTTGGATTGCCGTAGATTGCGCTTGAATTACTTACCTAAATTTTTTGTTTGATGTCAACTACTCTCTTTATTTATCTACTTGATATACTTTTGTTAGGCGGTTGGTCTGCTCTGCCCGCGGTTGTATACATTGACGCTGAATGTTATGGGTGTCAAATGAACTCATTAGATTGTTAATAGGTACCATTAAGGTCTATTTAGTTTGATTTCACATTACACCATTATTATCACTACCAATCTCACCACTATATTTATGATAATATCAAATTAAACGAGTCTTAACGAGTACCCATTAACAACTTAATGAGTTGATTTGTCACTTCTACCATGCGCAGAGAGGATTTATAGTATTGTTGGTTAAAAATATTTAATTGTACGTTCGTGGTACTCTGTTGATTCCCATTCCTTTTAGTAAAGAGCATTAGAAATGAATCAAATGATGGGATCACTGAACATGGAATTAGATCCATTTTGGACCTTAGTATCTGGAGCTTAGGGATCCATAAATTTGAGCTACACAATTGTGTGGAAAAGAAATAGGAGTCGTTGGTTTGTGTGAGGTGGGCTAGCGGAATGAGTTAATGAGAACCGTCATATTTAATTTGTGTGTTCTAAATTTATGAATTCCTGAGCTTTGAACACTAAAGTCCATAATGGGTCCAATTCCATTGAACATTTGAGCACAACAGTTTTTCACATTGTATTGTTTAGGAATATTTAGAAAACTGAAATAACATCACAAAGAATGGCTTCGACGGATTCTAAATCATACAAATCAAACTTATCCTAAAGCAAGATTGAAAAATTAGTAAACAAGATGTATGATCGTGATTATGAACTAAAGAAGCAAATCATCTGCTGCCAAAGGTTGATCTTGGATTCAAAACCTTAGGGGTCACAATGTTAGAAATTCAAGTTTTTTTACACAAAAACAACGCACGAAGTGTGCAAAAAAAAAAATCAGTTTGTTAACTGGGGCAATTCATTGATCACTTAGTGGACTTGTTGTCAGCTGAGTCATGTTGCGTACATATCAAAATATATTGACCATATGCCAAAGCAATTTGCTTAGTGTTATCGAGAGCATATGAGAATCGAACTCTATCGTGTGTTGTTGATATGCAAGCTGTCGAACTCTATCCAGTGTTGTTGATTTGAAGAGTCCCTGGACCTTCACATATATGTTTTCCAGCCTTCGGATGATCCCAGGACCATTTTGGTCCTTATGTCGATCTGTCATTGTCAGCCACCATATTCGTTTCTCGATAAATATGATTAAGAATATAATTTTGAATTTGTTGACAAGAAAACATCTTTCACTTTGTTTTGGCCAATGGAATGAACGCACAAAGAACGAAATATTATATAAGGATTTTTTGTTTGTAGTAAACTAATTCTTTTTAGAAACTTCACTTTTTCATGTTTGCCTTTTTTTCATCGTCGTCTTTCCTTTTCTTTGGAAAATTTACTACAAACAAATAAAGAAGCTATAAAAGGCTCTAGAAAAGACCAGTCCAAGTATACATACAGACAAATGCAGCAAAAGGCGCAACAAAAGGTTGAGTAAGAAGGCACTAGCTAGCCCAACGAACATTTGACAAAGCACTGACTAGCCTGGAAATAACAGCTCTGAGACTGTTAATGCCAGATATTGTGTTAGAGCAGTTCTCATTTAGGTTTAGATAATGTATTTAAATAATACAATGTTGGTTTAAATATAATCGCTACTAGTGGATTTAAATAGGGATTAAGAGATCAAGATGTTGAAGAATGCGATCTCACATTAGGGGTTGCACTCCTAATTACACTGAGATCTTTTGAGATAAAATCTAACACTTATTAGACAATACAGGTGGTCAAGTCAAGACAATATCAACACGACTATGAAATGTTGAGACAAGGATCTCTTGAGTGTGAAAAATTGGAGCTTCCTTTTCTACAGGGGAGTCCCCCATTGTTGTCCCCAATCAATGTGAAACTCATGTCATTGTTATCGTTCTTTGTTTGCTTGGATCTCTTCTGGAGTTGGCAATCTCTTATTAGCTGGAGAGGTTCTCTTATTGAAATAAAGGGTGTACTATCCACACATTTCTTTTTACTTCTCATACACCATTTGTTAATTTCTGTCCGTTGATCTTCTTCAATTCGTCCGATCCGACAGCCGAAAACTAAAAAAGTATGAAAGAATTAAAAAATGGTGTGTAAATATCACATCCCTTGAAATAATTATGAAATTGGGTATTCGGATTACTTATCTGTGCGGACCCAGATATTAAAATGACCGCATATCCCATCACTCCTAATTTAAGGCCCACCACTACCTCACAACTATAAAAGCGTGAGTTTTTTCTTTGTATGGAGGCAGGAAGCCACATAACAGATGCATGGAAATTTGCAATGATTAGTGCTCAAACTCGCAATTTTCTTTTTAATAGTTTTAGATTAAGATAATATCACGCATATATTAACTTGGAGCACTATCCTTTTGTCTATAACAAATAACAAACCCTTTTCGTCATAAAACATTTTCATACTCTATTTTAACAGGTTATGGGAAACCATTTTATTTTCAAATTTTTGATTTTTACTTATTATTATTTTTAATTGAAAACTTGTTTGATTATTAACTGAAATTTCAATAAAGTTGTTTTTGTATTTTAGATGAAAACTGAAAATAGTTATCAAACGAAAGAACTTGAAAAATGAAAATAAAATGGTTTTTGGATGACAACTAAGATTTTAAGTTTGTTAATTATTGATTCTAAGAGAAATGAAAATAAAAAGGGAAAATGTCAGGGAGATCATGTCTTTAGATTATGTATGTAGACAACATGATATGACGGTTGATAATCGAATTTTTTATTTAATGATTCAAAAACAAAATTTAACTATCAACAATTACATCATATGGTTTACAAAATAAACTTCAACTGGATAGTCTCTAGTATCACTTGAAAAGAAAAGTAAGTGAGGTAAGATATAAAGTCAGCCAACACAACAACCATATTTGGAGGCGAGGCACCAAACAACCATATTTGCAATGATTTCATTTTCTTATGTATTTTTTTAGTAATGCTAGGTAGAACAAAATTTTTAAATCAAATTTATAAATTAAATGATGTGGTTGTAAATAATTAGATTATTAGTTAAGTGTCGATTAACGTGCTTATTTCTTGTTGATGACATCTCATTTAGTTTGTAATTTGGTTTTAAAAATTAATATTCCTAACCTTACTCGTATATTTTGTCAGCATTTGCAACATGCCTCCGTTTTGGTGGGTTCTTTTTCGTGGTCTACCGTCACTATATATATATATATATATATATATATATATATATATATATATATATATATATATATATATATATTCAATTATATACTCCAGAAAAGCTATGGTTTTGAGAGTTGATTAAGACACATAGATATGTTAGTCATCTTCTCAACTTCTCCTCAAATTCCGATGACCTTCCTAGCAGTTAAAATATTGGAAAGTTGGATAGTGGTTGCCTTGGCTGGATTCAGAAAATTTGGGTCTCCACAAAAAGTGAAGTTACAAGTAGGCTCGATGGGTTCTGTAGTCAAATGTCTTCTGATATCCTAGCTATTCTTGTATAATAATTGTACGAATAAATATCCATTGTGTTAAATAGACATTTCATGAATTGGAGACATGATTTTTTAGTCAATGCAGTTTTTTTTTTTTTTAATCAGTACTCAATGATGTTTAAGCTTCAGTTTTCTTTGTGTTTCTATAATTCATGAAGCTAAATTTAACAACCAAACAATTTAATACCCATATATGTATCATCAGTTATTGTTACGGCTTAGTGATATTTTTTTTTATTTTGTAAGTGAGTGATCTTAGGTTCAATTCTCGAGAATGACGAGTTCGAAACTAATTTATCTCGTATCTTTTAGTGTAAATATGTCGTTATATAAAAAACACTCATATACATACACGTTTGACTTTGTACGTGCCAATTTTGAAAAACTCCCTCGCAAGTAGCTTGACCATAATTTTTTTGAGACAAACCATCAGTACTGTTAAACTTAATACAAGAAAATTAAGGCGAAGACCAAAGCAAATGACGATAATATACGTTGGATAACCAAAGAAGAAATAATACATAGATTCAAACCTTGAGAGTATCCAGGGAGTAATTAACTTCCTAGCATGATTGTAGGATTAGTAGACATGCGTATGCAATGTAAAGAAACTGGTCAGTCCTAAAAAAAATAAACTTAGTGCATGCTTTTCAATTGGCAGAAACATTAAAAAGGCCCACGAAAATTCAAAGGTTAATCGACGAGAAAAATCGTATGCACAAATGAGTCCCAAAACGCTGTTAAATAATCAGAGAAAGGCAGAGAAACGTAAATGTAGAGGTTAAAAATGCCACGCTGGCATGTTTACTTTGTTTTTACTAGAAGCAATGGAAAGTGGTATTTCATTGAACTTTACAAAGATTACAAAGGTTTCCAATTTAGTACATAACTTCAGTGACCAAAAAATTGATCTGGAGTGTTGTGCAATCAAACAAATTACAATAAGCCCATATCCGACCACAAGCACAGCCTTACCCTACAAAACATCATCAGTACAAATTTGTCACAATAACATGATAGACACAACAAACCTATACTGACGACCACATAGGTCATTGTAGAAGTGCAAGGCCACATAAAATCATCTCAAGCGAGACCACATAAAGTCCTTGTTGAAAGACTAGACCACAAACTCATCACTTAAAGCAAAGTCAACATCCAGTCATCGTAAATACAACACTTGCAGGGCGAGGCTACAAAACCAACTACACACTACTCTGAGCAAGTGGCCATCAATCAGCTCATCTCAGCGACTAGGACAATAACCAAGACAACACCTTCACCACACTAGTGAGCTCCACTACATCCATGAGTAAATCAGGTTACACAAGGGCGAAGTCATCTGATGTGGTTGCACAAGGCAGTAACGCCATCAGATTTGAATAAGGCAACGAGTAACCTGGACCTGTGGGTGCAAGGCTGCAACCACCAAATTGGTCGAGGAGAGTGTCACCACTATGGAAACAAGCTGATGGAAGTGGAACTTGTTAAAATGCATGAAATAAACATGTTGGAATAATGGTGTTGGATGACTAGTGAAATTAGGCTAGTCAACTTTCTTGTTCAAAGTTAGGCAAGTTAGGTTAGTCAAGCAAGATAGGTAAGTTAGGCAAAATTAGGCTTATGATCTTTTTCTTCCCTATATATATGTTTCATCTTGTAATTGTTTCATCAAGCAAATATACATCAAAATTCAATATGTATCAGAGCTGTGATCTGGGAAAAACCACAAAACACAGCTCTAAAGCAGCCACGAGGTCAACCATTCTAGGCATGGCCTCTCATTCAAAATGGGAAAATCCCAACCACTCGCTCTATCTCCACCACTCGGATCAACCTGGTGCAATCCTCGTACCACAACCATTGGTGGAAGACAACTACAACACATGGGTTCAATCCATGAGTATGGCCTTAACGGTCAAGAACAAACTTGGTTTTGTTGATGGAACGATCAACAAACCAAGTGAGGATAATTTTGAGAAGCTGCAGCAATGGAATCGCTGCAACAACTTGGTCAAGACATGGCTACTAGGCTCCATGTCAAAGGAGATTTCAGGGAGTGTCATCAACTACAAGGATGCTCGACAAATGTGGACCGATCTGCAGGAGAGGTTCTCACATGTGAATATAGTTCAGCTGTTCCATGTTGAGAACGAGATCCATGATTGCGTCCAAAGCAATATGAGTGTAAGTTCTTACTTCACTAAACTTAAACTTAAAAGTTTATGGGATGAACGTGATACTTTTGTGTTCCATTCCAGCATGCAGTTGTGGAACAAAGAATGAGATGAACTCATATGTTGAAACTCAGAAAACCATGAAGTTCCTTATGGGACTGAACGAATCGTATGCTACGGTTCGAAGCAATACTCTTCTTCTCGAACCACTGCCTACGGTGAACAAGGCATATGCGTTGGTCCTTCGACATGAACGCCAGGCAGAGGTTTCCAATGGGAAAAGCACACAACTAGAAACTGCTGTCTTTGCAGTGAAGAATCTGTGGCGAGAACCTACACCTGAAGACAAGGAGATGCGATGTGGAAAGTGCAATAAAACCAATCACATCACCAAAAATTGTCGTGCACATCTCAAGTGCACTTTTTGCGGATGGAAAGGCCACACCTTCGATTTCTCTCAAAAACGGAAAGCAGCCACAGAGACCGAATCCAATCGTCTCTTTTCTTCAAAGGGGAATCAAGTTTCACAAAGTAACAAGCAAGAGACAGTGCCTAATTTCCCATTCTCTCAGGAGGACTGCAAGCAAATCCTTCAGATGTTGAACAAGAACAAATCATCATTTGCCAATCAAGTCAGTAATCTTCCTAGTCATGAAGAACTTTCAGGTAAAGCCTTCTCTTTTTCATGTAAAGGAACCAAAAAGTATTTACCTTTATTTAACAATAAGGCTTGTGATTTGGAAAAATGTTTAATTTGCCCATTGGCCAAACAAACAAGATCACCCTTTCCTTTGAGCTCTATTTCTACCAAATCATGTTTTGAATTATTGCATATTGATATTTGGGGTGGTTATCAAGTTGTTTCTATTTCAGGTGCCAAGTATTTCCTTACCATCGTAGATGACTACACTGAAGCACTTGGGTTTATTTGATGAAACATAAATCTGACACAAAAGACATTTTAGTCGGATTCATTCAAATGATTGAGACTCAATTCAATACCAGAGTTCAAATCATACGAAGTGACAATGGCCCTGAGTTTAAGCTTGAGCAATTTTATGCTCTCAAAGGCATCATACATCAATCTAGTTGTGTCAACACACCACAACAAAATGGTGTTGCCGAACGTAAACACCGGCATTTGCTCAATGTTGCTCAGGCTCTGCTCTTTCAAGCTTGTTTGCCAAAACGTTTTTGGGGGGATGCAATCTTAACCTCAACCTACCTCATCAATAGAACACCCACTCCACTTCTCCAAGGTAAAACACCTTACGAAAAATTGTTTCACAAAGCACCTAACTATTCCCATTTAAAGGTTTTCGGTAGTTTATGTTTTGCTTCTACACACGCCCAAAGGCCATCTAAATTCGACCCCCGTGCAATCCAATGCATTTTTCTTGGGTATCCTTATGGTCAAAAGGGTTATAAATTGTTTGATATAAAACACAATAAGACTTTTGTTTCTAGGGATGTTGTTTTTTTTTAAGATCATTTTCCATTCCAAAATCATACCACTTCCGCTGCCCCGTCTCCATCAAACATTACACCCCCCTCACCCCATCACGTTTGACTTGACCTCTCCCATTGAGTCGCACTCAAGCCTTGCACCCGAAGAAATAAACATCACCTCTCCCACACTTGCCGACATCACACCACTCTCATCTCCTTTACCTACTACAACTCCACCACCAGATACCTTATCAACACCTTCACATACCCTACACTCTTCACCACCTCCAACCACTCCATCACCAGACCAACCACCTCCACTCCGTCGTAGCACTCGACCGACCAAAAACTTCCACATTTTTGCCTTTTTGCAGGACTTTCATGTTGAGGTGGCCCTCCCTTCCCGTGTTGCTCCCACATCTTCCACAAGCATGGTCCAGTCATCAGGTACATCTCACCCCATATCTCGTTATTTATCTTATGACCATGTATCCCCCACTCACAAAACCTTTCTCACCACCCTCACCATTATCAAATAACCCATCAGTTTTTCGCAAGCTGTTCAGGATCCAAAATGGCGTGACGCCATGCAAAAAGAGATTGTTGCCCTTCCTTCATGACAATCGCACTTGGACTCTTGTGTGCCCTTACCACCTCACCTCAAAACATCCCATCGGTTGCAAATGGATCTATAAGGTGAAGCTTAAACTTGACGGCAGTGTTGAACGCTACAAAGCTCGTCTCGTTGCTAAAGGCTACAGTCAAATTGAGGGGCTTGATTATCGGGAAACTTTTGCTCCAGTTGCCAAGCTCACCACCGTCCGTGTCCTCTCCTGAGTATTGCCTCCATACGAGGCTGGCATCTTCATCAACTTGATGTGAACAACGCATTTTTGCATGGTGACTTATACGAGGAGGTTTATATGTCCCTGCCTCCTGGGTTCGGACGAAAGAGGGAGACACGAGTATGCAAATTACACAAATCCATTTATGGTTTAAAACAGGCCTCGAGACAATGGTTTATCAAGCTGTCTAGTGCTCTCAAGACTACTGGTTTTCATCAATCATGGTCAGATTACTCATTGTTCGTCCGAAACCGTCAAGGCAGTTTTATGGCATTACTTGTGTATGTTGATGACGTGATACTTGCAGGTAACAATTTGAGAGAAATTGAAGAGACTAAACTCTTCCTTTCCCAACATTTTAAACTAAAGGATTTGGGAAAACTCAAATACTTTTTGGGGATAGAAGTTGCAAGATCTAAACAAGGGATTGCCTTGTGCCAACGCAAATATGCGTTGGAGATACTAGAAGATGCTGGGTTCCTTGGTGCGAAGCCCTCACGATTACCAATGGAACCAAACCTGTCCCTTACACAAACTGATGGGACGCTCCTACATGATCCTTCTTCATACAGGCGACTCGTAGGGAGGCTGATTTACTTAACCATCACGCGGCCTGACCTAACTTATATGGTTAATATGTTGAGCCAATTCATGGACAAGCCACGACAACCTCACATTGAAGCGGTGCATAAGGTTCTCAGGTACATCAAACAATCTCCTGGACAGGGAATTCTTTTGCCTTCTACAGGTTCACTACAATTACAAGCCTTTTGTGATGCTGATTGGGCTCGGTGTAAAGACACTAGAAGGTCAATCAATAACCGGTTTTTGTATCTTCCTTGGACAAGCACCGATATCTTGGAAAACGAAGAAACAAAGCACAATATCTCGTTCTAGTGCAGAGGCAGAATACCGTTTTATGGCTACTACTTGTTGTGAAGTTATATGGCTAAGAAACATTTTGAAGGACTTGCAAGTAAATCATGCACAACCAGTCACAATGTTTTGTGATAATCAAGCTGCCATGCACATTGCTTCGAACCCAGTGTTTCATGAACGAACGAAGCATATAGAGATAGACTGTCACCTAGTACGTGAGAAGATTCAAATGGGAATGGTGCAAACAGCTTACATACGGACCTCGAATCAACCTGCAGACTTGTTCACCAAACCACTAAGCTCGGCACAATTTGAGGTCTTAATTAGCAAGTTGGGTGTCATCGACATTCACACTCCAACTTGAGGGGGAGTGTTAAAATGCATGAAATAAACATGTTGGAATAATGGTGTTGGATGACTAGTGAAATTAGGCTAGTCAACTTTCTTGTTCAAAGTTAGGCAAGTTAGGTTAGTCAAGCAAGATAGGTAAGTTAGGCAAAATTAGGCTTATGATCTTTTTCTTCCCTATATATATGTTTCATCTTGTAATTGTTTCATCAAGCAAATATACATCAAAATTCAATAGAACCAACCCACTAGCAACCACAAAACCTACCCTAACCATGAATCTCACCCAAATAAAGAAAGAGAACTTGAAACGAGCATGGCCCAAATATGAGTAGAGGCTCAAAGCCATGAAGGAGCTACTCACAAAATGGTGGGGAAGAGCTAGGGAGTAGAGAGAATGAGCTACATAAGTTAAGAAGGGTAGGGGAGACATGGGGTAGGGAGGCAGCGAGGTGAATGGGAAGGTTAGTGGAGGGAAAATACTAGAGGTGGAGGGGTTAGCAGAGGGTTAAGAAGTGAGAGAGAGGCTAGGAGAAAGGTAGGGAGTGGCTCCATTGACCCCAAGTCAGAGCAAGGGGTCGGCGATTTAGATTGCAGAAAATCTACGGTTTTGTTTTTGGGAGGGACGGTTGGGGAGAGACAAAGGGAGGTAGGGAAATTATTGAAAATTTTGAACCAAGGGCGGAGCCAAGATATTGTTTTTGGGTGGGCAGACTAAAATAATTAACATAAAGTAACATAAATTTTTGCGTACCTACATAAAATTATATAATAATACATGAATATAAAACTCTAAAATCTGAACTAATAATCCAAACTAACATAACAAGTAATACAATTTCATTTTTTCCTTAAAAAGTCTTGCATTAATTACGTATTAACTTATAGTTTTTATTAGAATTGGGTGGGGTATGTATAAGTAAGTATAATAGGTTAAAGTAGGTTAGTACATAGACTATTAGCAAGAGTTCAAACTAAAGCTCCCTAGGCTACTGCCAACCTTAGTCGTGGGTGTAGCTCTGCCATTGTTTTGAACTCGTTCAAACTATTGAAAAATGCTAGGATGTTTACTTATATGGAGTAATCTTTGGCTTCCCTATGTTTGCTAAAACATGAGTATTTGAATTGTTTCGATTCTTATCTTCTAATGTGTTTCCTTCTTTTCCTTCCCGATTCATAACTTACCCGAAACATGTTAGTAAAAAAGTCGAGTCTTTCAAATGAAGGACTTCTTTGCATGCACGGGCGTGTGAGGGCCAAGTAAAAACTCACAAGTTTTACGTATAAATGCTTGTGTGAAATTTGAGTCTACCTTTTCTCCTACAAATCAGAAATTCCTAGGAAGTAAATAAAAAATAAAAGAGAAGAAAAGAAAAGATGTGCGGAGAGCAATAGTATATTAAAATGTCATTAGCATTCACGTCTATTTTCTTTATTAGAATTTTCCATATTTAGAGTACGTAACGACTTTTTGGAGTGATGACAAAAAGCTCACTAGCTACTCTTATTAATTCAAAGTACAAAATAACATCGTTTTGGGCACACACAGTACAAAATATAAGTACACTTAACTTAACCTTAACCCTTAATCCATGCAACAAGTTTTCTCCAGTGATCAGGCCTAACAATTAACTTTTATCTAGGGTTTATTAAAGCCTAAATCCTAATTTTATTCTACTAACTAACTAAGCTTATTAACAACCCCAATTATGGCTATACATAATTATATATAAACATGACGATCACACTACGAAACCTCAGTCAAAGTTTCCTATACATACAATCCAAAAGACATCACATCACAAACCCTAACCCTACGGTTACGTAACTGGTAATTACAGTATCAACCTAGAGAATATATATATATATATATAAAGTTTTAACGAAACACTTTCGGTATTATTCACTTTTAACGAAATACCACATTTTTACCTTTCCCTGATACTTTTCACTACACATCTATTTGTCATCTTCATTAAAACTATAGTTTTTTTTTTTAATTTTTCGTTAGTTTTCTTCTAATTTAATGTGTATATACCCTCAAAATAATACAAAACTATAAATACAATAGTAAATGTAGGACAAAGTCAATGTGCCACACGCATAAGCAGGGCGAATGCAGCCATTGGTACATTAATATTCCAGGAACACGCTTTTATTTACTAACAAGATCCTCTCCCGAATCCTTTGAGAGTCATGAAAATTCGTAAATTGTGTCCGTTCACATACAATGTGCGATCAATTTTTGTCAGGTACTGTTCTAATTAATTTTAAATAAAAAAAATTTAAATGATTTTAATAGTACGATGTATGATAAACAGAAATGATTCACGGATCTTTTAAAATCCTCACATATTGATCCGACGGAAAATCCGAATGCTTTTTATTTAATCGGGCGAATAATTCAAACT